TAATTGACTCGACTTCGGGTCAAGGTTTGCTGTCATTCATGGATGGATTTAGCGGCTACAATCAGATTAAGATGTCGCCCAAAGATGCTGAGAAGACGGCCTTCCGGCCACCATATGGAAATTTTTATTACACGGTCATGCCATTCGGTCTTAAAAATGCTGGCGCCACCTATCAAAGAGCCATGATAGCAGTGTTTCATGATATGATGGGGAAAGAGGTGGAAGACTATGTGGATGATCTTGTGGTGAAGTCAAAAACTAGAGAAGGCCATCAAGAGGTGCTGAGGAAGGTGCTGGAAAGATGTCGACTGTATGGGTTAAAGATAAACCCCAAAAAGTGTGCATTTCATCCGGGAAATTCTTGGGGTTCCAGGTGCACCAGCGCGGCATAGACGTGGATCCCGAGAAGACCAGAGCTATAAACTCTCTCGCACCGCCTAAAAGCCTAAAGGAATTAAAGAGTTTCATGGGAAGACTGTCATACATTCGACGCTTCATCCCTGGCCTCGCTGCCACAATGAGCACTTTCACTCCTTTGCTCAAGAAAGGAAAGCCGTATGTATGGGGCAAGGAGTGCCAGGAAGCCTACTTGAAGGTACAACGAATAATCACCAAGCTGCCCACCATGAGAGCGCCTATTCCGGGACTTCCCCTCAAGCTTTATCTAGCTGCAACAAACACAGCGGTAGGGGCCTTACTTGCCCAGGATGATCATGAAGGCGAAGAAAGTCCCATTTATTATGTGAGTAGACAATTGAGAGGTGCTGAAACAAGATACCCAAAAACCGATCTCTTGTGCCTTGCCCTTGTCTATGCTGCGCAACGCCTGCGACATTACTTCCTTGCTCACAAGCTGCAGCTCATGGTGAAATCTGACCCCGTAAGATACTTGCTCACGAGGCCGGTGCTATCTGGACGTCTTGCACGCTGGTTGCTACAACTATCCAAGTTCGATATCACATGCGCAGCTCCCAAGGCCATTAAGGGGCAGGCTGTAATTGACATGTTGGCTCTATTTCCTGAGATAGAAGAATCGACCCTTTCCGAGGAGGTTCTGGGGGAGCTGCCGGAAGTAGTTGCTGCAGTTACAGAAGAGGAGCCATGGATCCTTTACTTTGATGGGTCTTCTACGTCAAAAGGTGGAGGAGCAGGTGTGGTGCTCATTAATCCAGAGGGACAGGCTACAGCCCTCTCGTTCAAGCTAAATTTTCCATGCACAAACAACACGGCAGAATATGAAGCTTTTATTATGGGAATGTCTATAGCAAGAGAGATGGGTGTGGAGAAAATCAAGGTTATTGGGGATTCAAACCTGGTGCTAAGTCAATTACAAGGGAACTTTGCTGTGAAGGAGGCGACATTGGCACCATATCGTACGACGGCAGAAAAACTTACTAATTCTTTCAAGCAAGTTGTGATGGAGCACATTCCCGGAATCACTAATAGATATGCTGATGCACTGGCTACATTGGGATCGAAGCTCTCATTTGTCGAAGAACAGCCTAACATCACTGTGATAAAAAAAGATGTATCGGTAGTCGAAGCAATGTTCCAGGAGGAGCTGCCGGAAGCAGAAGATGATTGGAGGAAAGCTCTGAAGGAGAAGATGAGCAAGGGAAGCGACATCAAAGAATTAAAGGATTACACGATCATCTTTGGAGAGCTCTACAGGCGCCTTCCGGGGGGTATTTTGACTCGGTGTATAGGAATAACAGAAGCGCGAAGAAGGTTGCAGTCTAATTGCCCCAGGTGTTCTACAATACCCTCCACCGAAGAATCTTTCACTATTTCACTCGCAGAGGATTGGAGAGCTCCTTACTTAGCATTTTTCGTCGAAAGGACTCTACCAACCGATCCCAGGCTTGCCTACAAGCTCAAGAAGACAGTAAAAAGGTATTTTGTAGACGGGTCGACGCTTTACCGTAAGGGGTTTAATGGCGAACCATTGAGATGTTTGGGAGAGTCAGAGGCACGTCAGGTCATGCAAGAAATACATGCTGGAGAGTGTGGAGAGCACCAGGGAATGAAGAGGCTTCACCGGCAGCTGCTGAGTGTTGGGTATTATTGGCCTACCATGAAGAAAGATGCGCACGACTTCGTCAAAAGATGCCACACATGCCAAATTCATGCCAACCTAAGTCACAAGCCTCCCACATTGCTACAGGACATGCGCACTCCTTGGCCTTTTCATACTTGGGGGCTTGACTTAATCGGAACAATCCATCCTCCTTCCGACGGTTACATATGGATTCTCACTGCCACGGAATATTTCACGAAGTGGGTTGAAGCGATCCCTCTTCGAAAGGCCACGGGAGCTGCTATTTCAAATTTTATTCGGGAATATATCGTATGCAGAGGAATATTTCACGAAGTGGGTTGAAGCGATCCCTCTTCGAAAGGCCACGGGAGCTGCTATTTCAAATTTTATTCGGGAATATATCGTGTGCAGGTTTGGAATTCCATACAAAATGGTCACTGACAATGGCACTCCTTTTGTTAACAAACAAGTGAGCTCAACACTTAGCGGCTATGGTATCAAGCATCGCCGCTCCACACCTTATTACCCACAGGGAAATGGTCAAGCTGAGGCTACAAACAAGACCATATTGAGGATTTTGAGCAAAATGGTACACGAGTACGAAGGAGGTTGGAGCGTTCACCTGCCGGATGCCCTGTGGGCTTACCGCACCTCTCCAAGAAGCGCTACAGGTTTTTCGCCTTATTCTCTTGTGTATGGGTCTGATGCCATTTCACCCGTAGAAATCACCATCCCCACGGCCAGAGTATCGGCTGTCAATGATCTCGAATGGGATATGAAGTCATGCTCAGATTGGCGCCTATTAGACCTCGAAGCTGTCGATGAAAAAAGAGCTGAAGCCGAAAGAAGAACATCGCTTTCCCACAAAACCATTGCACAAGCTTACAACAGAACAGTCAAGCCGCAAGCCTTCAAGCAAGGGGACCTCGTGCTAAAGGTCGTCGAGCATGTGAGGAGACAAGTATCGGGGCCTTCCAAATTTGCTCCGCAATGGGAAGGGCCATTCGCAGTCAAAGAAGTTTACAGCAGCGGCTATTATCGCTTGATCTCTGTCAAAGAAGGCATGCTAACGGATCCCATCAACGGGAAGTGGCTCAAACCGTACTACTGCTAAGTTAGTTTTATATTCTGCACTTTCGTTATGGCATTTCTTTTCATTTCAAATATGAACTCCTTCTATGATCTCGCTTGGTATTTTGGAAAATTATTGTACGATGCACCACTATGGTAGCATGAACTTTGCAATGAAAATGAAGGAGTATTTTGAAAAAGAAAACTTGCCTCTGAAATATTACTTTACGTACCCCAAACTTACTTTGCACCAAACACTATATATATGTACGCGAAAAAAAAAAAATGATAAACACATGCTACTTAGCAGTAAAACATGCCAAGCAAAGCCACTTGGGTGGGACCCCGAACTATCAAGCCCAAGCAAAATAACATCAGTATGCGAGGCCATGCTATTGTAAAAAAGACATGCATTCTTGAACGACAAAATCATGATTCTCTTTTGGCAAGCAGTCGGGATATGCGAAGTGTCTATGAATTTTATAAAATCACGGGGAAAATAGTGTCTGGTCCCTTCAAAGCATGATGAGAAGGTGTTCTTTTTCAAGCTTAGTAAGGCAAGCCATGCAAATAAAGTTTGGGAATGCTACCAAATTTTTTTTTTGACAACATATGCTCTGCTTTTAAAGATATCCAACCCGTCAGAAAATCTCAGATGACCTCAAGCAATTCGCAAGCACAAATTCCACCAACCAGGCAGCACATATATATACATATATATACCAAGCAGAGGTTACAATGTGTCTCTAGCATCCAAAAGAAAATAAAACGTAGGTCCCAGCAGCTTGATCACAACAGCGTTACAATACAAGGATTTCACAGTACAGGTGTTGGAACATCAAAAGAAAATACGGCCTAAACACAACTAAGTTATACAAGCTGGAGCTAATATGTTCTTCAACATGTTGGGCCGGTCAATTCCATGCAAAGCAAAAGAGCAACCTGCAAGGCAAGGGTGAATGTCAGAAGAAAATAGGCAGGTGCTAGAAAATTATTGTATAAAAAAAAAAAAACAAGGAAGGAGCCTTGCAGGAGGAGCCGGTTATTGCCTCTGCCACGCAGCCAGCACCATCGGCGGAAACACCTTGGGTGAGAAGAAGGGCGCGCAGTTCCTCATGCTGATTTTCCAGCTCACGTTGCTTAAGACTCAGGGCCTCCGCCGCTGCTCTTATTTTGTCATGACTGGAAGACAACTCCATGCTATGAACAGCTCGTGCCCCAAAGACAGCACGTGCCAAATCTCGCACCAAGTTCAGAAGAAAATCTACCCGAAAGCCCAAGGTCATGGCCTCGCAAACCGCATCCCGCCAGCAAAGAAGTCTGTGGTCCGTAATATCCAGCAATTGCACGGTATCCATTCCATGGAGCACTAGGCCAAGGGTCCGGAAGGCAGCACACCGCGAGAAGGAAGAGGTGATGCTAGTACTATCCATGAAGTCTCCGTATTTGTCTATAAATTTCTCCAAAGCCGCAACCGTCTCGGGATAAACAAGAGCTCCACGAAACATCGCGTAGCCATTAAATCGGTGACAAAGTGGTAGGAGCTCATCTGCGGATCGAAGGACCTGGACTCCACTATCAAAGAAGGCCCTAAATGCAATAAAGAACCGTTCCCACTCCAGCCAAGATGTGTGGGATGGGTGCCTTGCGGGAATGACCTCCGTAACAATATCATTAGCCGAGGCCTCCTCATTGGTAACGACATTATCAAATGGAATCAATGGAGGTGGCACTGGAGAACTCGAGCTTGGTATCCGGAGAAGCGGTTGAATGTGGGATGAAGCGGGCAGTGTACCATGAAAAGTAAATGTCTTACTCCGGAAAGCTGCCGGAAGAGTGGGTGAAAGGTCGGGCTCCAGGTTCCTTCGAAGAAGGTGCCGGATGATGGGCGACAATGGACTCGCGACCTGAGACATGGGTGCTTTGTCTGGAGAGCTTGCTGGTACTATGGTTGAAGAAGACTCGGCAAGGGCCGCTTCAACCAGCGAGTCGAATGTGCTGGAAGAAGAGGGTACCACAGGCACAATTGCCATACCATGAGCAACGTGCCCAACCTAAAAAAAAAGAAGGGAGAGTATGCAAGATAAGAATGAGGCATTTAGCGAGCTGCGTCATGTGCATAATTAGAAGGCAAGAGAAGGATTGCCCGACTAAAGAAGAATGGAAAATAGGAAAAGAATATGTAAGCAAAGCAAATGATGAATACCTCTTGGGTACTCTGTACAGAACCAGCAACGGCAGCAGCAAGGTTTTGGTCATCAGTAACATCGACAATCTGCAAAGTGAAGGCAAAGGGTAAAATAAGTGGCTCACGGAACGAAGAAACAAAAGCAAAACAGGGCATGAGATGGATACCGATTCAATGTTGATGCGACGCGCATTGCTGTTTGTGAAAGCATCCGAGCCGCCCTGCTCTTCCGGGTAGCCGTTGGGAAGCACAAATGCATCTTCAGCATGATCATGGTAATCACCCTCACCAGGATCCTCGCAAGTGCCACCAATGCCACACATATCCTCTTGCTCTGGGACACTAGCCTCGGTCTCAGCGGCATCCTCGTCGTCGCTATCATCATCAATAGACACGACAGTACCAACTCTAGAAGCTCCGCTGTTACTTGTGCGAGACCCACTGAACCTTGTTTGCAGAATACGCATGCTACGACGTTTCGGAGCCACGTCAGGACTCACAGGAGATGCACCGCTTCTCTTCCTCTTCGGGGTGGTGCCCATTTTTTCTAAGAAAAAAAAAAGAGGGAAGGTTAGATGAATAGATAAAAAAAAAGAAGGCAGAGCATGCAAAAGAAAGTGGTCAGCACTTACTGCAAAGAGGAGTGGTCTCCGGCGCCTTGTCAGTGCGGCCCTGGCTCTCAGATGCAGCAGACTTTGAAGGCTGTGAACGTGCTGGGGGAGTTACTTCTTTAGTTCGGGAGGGGCCGCTCGATGCCACCTTTGGAATGAACCTTTTAGGTTTACTTGCGGTCCGCTCCTTCTTCGCGCTTGGCTTCTCCTCCCGTTTCTGTTTACCTGACGCCGGCGTCGCCCTTTTTCCAGAACTACAGGGGCTCTGTGCTCCCGGTTTTTGCTTTGGCTTGGAGAACTCCCCGACTATGTCACCACTTTTAGAAATAAATGGCAGGTTGCGCTTCACGCTTAAGGGGATTGCTTTCTCTTCCGATACTAGACCAGCAAGGCGAGCGGTAGTCGGAGGCAATCTGTCACAAGGGGAGGATTGGAACTCGCACATGGAAGTAAGGCAGCGGTTCCAGTAGGCTTTATATCCGGGTGAGAAACCACCAATTCTTCTCCTGCCGGCTAGGAAAGGGGGCCTAACGCTGTCCGGTATGTTGCAGTTGCTCCAGAAGGCCCTGTGAAGTAGGAAGGGGTCACCATGGCTAGGATCGTTTGGCACGCCCTGGTCAAGTCCAAGCTGCCGTCTGACCCGGTGGGGTGAGTAAGTCGCGGAGACCTCCGAGCGGTTGTCGCCTAAAGTGGGCAGTGGGAGGCATGCGGCATTCAACAAGGAATATCTTCTGAAACTGCAGCCTTGAGGCATCACTGCCGGAACCTCAACAATGTCGTCAACGTCAGCATAAAAGGGCACAAAAGTGAAGGTTTCTGCTGAAGTGCCGTACGGGCGAAAGACGAAGTGCTCAATATCATCCAGCAGCCTTAAAACATTTTGGCCTTTTCTCTGCATTCGCTTAAACCACCTGCAGACGAGAGGGAGGCTGTCCGGCATGAAAGAACCATTGCCCGTATCAGCGGACTGCAGAGCATACGAATAGGGGAGTGGGCACACGTCCAGCCCCTTGAGGTGTTCCCACAAAAACACCTGCAAGAAGCCAGAATTCAGAAGGGTCTCTACGCCCATGGTTCCCGCCGCATTCTTCTCCAAAATCTGACACTGATCAAGAAGCCTGTATAAATGCCCTAGGAACACGGGGGCTAAAGGAATTGAGTCACCTCGGGCGATAGCCAAGGCCAAAGGAAATACACGCTCATGAAGGCAGTCCTGGGAAAAGTCACAGAGCACGAATCGCCCGAGCCACAGTGATATAAACGCAGCTAGCCGCCAAGGTCCCCGCCTATCCACATCACCAAAGTACTGTATCCAGTTGCTGAAGCGAAGCGAAGTGCTGGGAGAGGTAGGAGCGCCCTTTCGCAGGACTGCAAGGGTGTCTATCTCTGCCGGGGTAAGAGCAATATCAAAAGGACTCCGATCACCGCATACAGGGAGGCGAGATATGTTTGCTACGTCTTCAAGAGTCGGAGTAAACTCTCCCCACGAGCATACAAAGGTGTGAGTAGCTTTGCTCCACCTCCGGACCACATGACGGAGCA